AGAATTTGTATCCCGTTAATCCTGGAGGCGCTTCAATGGAAATGCTAGTGAGGACAGTGTTGGTGAGCCATTGAAGCGTGACAGCAACTCGGTCAATGGAACAGTATGTTTATTTTCTTACCTCGACCTCTCTGTATCACCCCAGCCATTATAAAAATTTCACATAAGACATCTTCCGACATGATCTTTTACGAGATCACAAGCTTGCGACGTGAGCCCGAGACACAGAGGCTGGTTCAGTCAATCTTTAATTGTCATGTGTCCGTGCTACCCTGCAGTTCTACCCAAACTCCATGCTGTGAAGCCTCAACGCGACGAGACACGTGTTGACCATGAGACCAACAATCTCCGATTTATCAACAAGACCAAGTAAAGTAAGGCTCTCAAACAGCGTATCAAGAAGCGAGCGTTATATAATTACAATTTTATACACAGCTTGAGTGTCTCGCTTTCATCTCCCTCCAACCCACCAATGTCTGGGGAACTGCATGCCCCATTTCTCCATCAGGACTCTCAACTCGTACTCCGTCCCTGGCACGACATTGATGAAGACCCTTCCATTATTTCCCTCACTCATACAAGGTTCAGAGTGCACTGCTCCATATCCCCTGCCAACTTTAAACACAGAGCATTCACCTATTTCTGCTGCTTCTGCGCCAAAGGGTTTTAGCACTGTAGCCAGTTCATCGCGCACAGCATCTGCTGCAGCTGCACAGCCAACACAACGAATTGACACACACTCATGCTCTGTGCTTGCTGACTCACGAGCGGATTCTTGTGCTTTGCGCGCCGAGCGCTGGTGAGATTGGGGTATGAAGAGCGTTGAGGGGCCGAGAAGGGTAGTGCAGATCTTCCAGTCCGTTCCGGTGTTTTTATGACGCTTTTGTTGTTGTGATTTGAGGCCTAGGCGTGTGCCTGGGAGTTCGTCCGCAGTGAAGAAGAGTTCATCTGTGTGCCATCTTGGTTGATCAAACTCATGGGTAGGTGTCGTAGCGCGTACTGTAAGGAAGTAATCCTTGAAACCCTTATCCAGGAGAAGATTGTTAATATAGCTCAAGAAAGGAATAAATACAGAGCGAATAGATTCTGTAAAGACTTGACTCTCAAAGTCGTAGAAGTTATCAGGTAGTGATGACCCCGGAGGGTCGAGGAGAGGGCCGCAGTAGCACCAGTAGGCCGGGCGCTTGACGGTTATCGGGTCTTGGCGTTGATCAGCATCGTCAAGGTACTTCAGAAACCTGAATTCCCTTTCGAAATCTGTATCTACGGCTGCCATGATCGTCATATGAAAGGACTAGTTAGGAGATAAATGGTCATCGTCGGTTAAGCGGTCAAATGGCGTGAATCCTTCTCGTCGCTTACTGGTGACTAAGCAGGTGAGATGTACAAGACAGATAATGGAATTTCAGAATATTGGCAACTTTTGGCACCTAGTTAGAGGTCACGGATTTAAATTTTCATATAAGCAAGGAAGCTAGATTGTTACCCACTGATACAGGGATAAAAAGACACTGAATCTGTAGACCTCGGGGTCGAAACGAGATGGGTGTCATGTAGCAATTAGTGATTTCTCTATAGGCAGATAGTACTCCAAGTCTCATTAACAAGCAAGAACATTATTCCAAAGCTGAGATCCATCATAAATTTTCATCCTCCAACGCCGTCTACACAGTCCAAGAATGCACCATCTCCACAAACCTCTCAACCTGCGCCCCCTCCGTCGCCCACGTCGTAAGCAATCTAATGACAGCCTCATCATCACCGCACTTCTCCCAAACATAAAAACTAAAACTCTCCTTCAGCACCTTGATCAAACTCAATGGCAAAACCGCAAAAACCTGATTCGTCTCCGTCGCAGCATATACTGAAAATCCTCCCTGCGCTATACCGCTCGATAACGACTCAGCAGCTAAATTCGCCTTGCGCGCTAGTTCAAAGTACAGATCTCCCTCAAAAAGCTCTGCGAATTGCGCGCCGATGACACGGCCTTTTGCGAGGAGGGAGCCGTGCTGCTTGACGTAGAATTCGAACTCGGACGAGAGGCGTGCGTCTTTTACGACTACGGCTTCGCCGAGAAGGGCGCCGTTTTTTGTGCCGCCTATCCAGAAGATATCTGTGAGCTCGAGGATGTCGGAGAGGGTCATGTCGTTTGCTTTTGAGGCGAGGGCGGTGCCGATTCGAGCGCCGTCGAGGAAGAGAATGAGGCCATTCTTTTCACAGACTTGTTTTATCGCTGCGAGTTCGGCGCGAGAGTATATAGTTCCGATCTCGGTTGCGTTGGAGATATACACCAGTCGAGGTTTCGCCATGTGAGGAAAATGCCAATTATCATCTAGCGCACGCTCGATCGTCGCAGGCGTGAGCTTTCCATTCTGTGGTGTGACGTTGATGATTTTATGACCGCTTGCTTCTACTGCGCCTGTCTCTCTCGTCACGATATGGCCAGAGCTAGCAGCGATGACGGCTTCGTGAGGCCGGAGACATGCGGCGATGGAGATGGCGTTGGCTGATGTCCCGCTGGGCACGAAGAATATGCCAACGTCGTCGCGGCCGAGATGGCGACGGATTCGCTGCCGTGCGAGATCGCAGTACGTATCGCCTCCGTAGCCGGTTTCTTGGGTCGTGTTGCTGGTGATCAATGCTTTGAGAAGGGCGGGATGTGCACCCTCGCTATAATCGTCCATGAAACTATAGCGAGGAATCGAGGTTGGTATTTGAGACGGCATTTTGGCAAGATTGATAATGGTGTAGATGTTGGTTGTGACAGTGGTGTAGTTACTAATTCTGGCATTTCTATATAGATGATTTCATCCCCCACTCGATGATCCACAGATGAATCACGGAATCGAGGTGTTAGTAACTGGCGTGTTAGTCAAACCTATCGTGGTGGGTCGTTTACTCAACATTCCATTACGCTTCCCGAAACTTTACCAAACCCAATTGCGCTAATAATGCCGTCCTCACACGTGTATTGCATCATGTGAGGAGTTTATTTTTCTGAGAGATAACGAGAACCGGCCCGGTTGGTGGGATCATGGGGACATTGATATCGTATTCGCCGCGTCGAGAGAAAAATCGATAAAGCTTCGATAAGTCTCCACAGTCGACGAGTCGAGCGGCTTTGGGTATGTAAGGATCTTTTGATACTTTGGCTTCAGTGGCATTCCTGTTGCCGTGACATCGCTGGCTTGGTCCCAGAGCTCAGGATACTTTTCGAAGAATGCGGGGTCGATCTTGTAGTAGCCCGCGCCCTTGTCCATGTTCAATTTATTAAATGCGGCGCGAGCATATGCAGGTGATGAGAATAACGTTGAGATGTCTGGCGCGGGAAGCATGGCGATTGTGTTTTCGCTCTCGGATGTTCCGGACGACATAGTGTTGATGAGGTCTGTTACACGTACGTAGACCGTTATCTGCGGGGCACCCAGGACGAGATCCGACATGAGCGCCTCCACGACGTAGCCAGTCACAGCATCGCAGAAGATCTGGTCGATGTGGGGATTTGCAGAGTGCAGTTGGATTAAACGATCGCGAATTGTGGGAAAGGGTATCCAGTCGATGATGCCCGGGTGAGGATTCTCGAGCTGTGCTGTTGTAGGGCGGTAGCGGGGATGGAGCTTGTTATAGGTTGCGGAGGATGGGTAGAGTTGCCACGCTGTGAGCTCGATGATGTGGTAGAAGCGTGTTTTTGCATACCATGCCATTACGTCTGGACGGGTCATGCTGTTGAACATGGACAAGACCATGAGGACTGGTTGGTAGACACTAGACGTGTTAGAAAGCTTTGAAGACGTCATGCGGGGAGCGTTTACCTCTGGACAGGATTATGGCCTTCTGGAACGAATCCAAGAGTATTAAGCTTGTTCTTAAGCATTCGCTGAAGTAGCTGAATGTGATCCGAGAATGGTGAATTGGTAAATGAGTAATCTTTCCCAAGGACCAGACTCGACTCGGCTGTTGCGTTGATGGCGGTTAGATAGGGTTGCATTCCCATTTGATATTCGTGACTCCAGATATTCGGGATCTGAGAGTAGAGTGGGCTTGTGCCGGAAACATTGATGAGCTCTGACGAGAGGCTATTTTCTGTTGCAGATGTTTCATCAGTCATTAGCCTGACCTCGTAATATGACAGTTGAAACCTACCAGTGACGCTCGATGATGAAAACGGCGCATCAAAGTCTAGAATCGACGGATCAAACGCCTCCAGATCAATAGACTGCAGCACAGACTCCTCGGCGATATGCTCATCATTCTCTTTCTTTCCGCTCACCCACTCAGCCCCATCTCTCTGTCGCTCATCTCCCTCACCACTCGCAGTATCATCAAGCGTCTTAGCCACCGAGTCACTCAACAACTGCACTGATGCCATCATCCGCGACATTTTGGTCTGCACATCAATCAACTGCTTTCTCAACAATCGATTCTCCTTTTGCAGCGCTTCTACACGCTCACTATCTGATCGCTGGTCCGCATTCACGCGGTTCTTCAGCTCGCGGATACATTCTGCCTGTCTACGACGAAACGCTCGTTGCGATAAGCGATTGCGGAGTTTTCTGCATTTTGTTAGGGAGGATGGAGAGGTGCGGGGTCGGGGAGACTTACTTTCGTTCTTGCTCGGTGAGAGTGGTGTTCTTTTCGTCCGTGTGAGGTGAGTCCATGATGGTCCGGAGATCTTGTCTCGGTGTGCAGATGCTCAGCTTGACAGGGCTGGGGCTGGCAGGGTAGACTGAACTGAACTGAACTCCCGGGACCGGTATTTGAGATTCAAAGGTGGAGATGGGGCATTCTCATTGGAGGTTGATGCTTGGAGCGGCCTTTTGCGGTTAGGAACGGTGAGTTTGGGCCGTCATCGGGGTTCTTCCCCACTGAGGAGGAACTCTTAGGGTCAGGAAATAAGCCGCTGATAGCAGGCATCGCGAATTGAACTAATAAAGAGACTATACAAAGACTTTGCAAAATGATAAAGTATACTCAAGATCGTCTACGAATTCATAACTCATCTACAGCTGAAAGCGCTGCCTTCTTCCTGTCCGCTCATCAATATCACCCTCGTCCTCAACAAGCTCCCTCTCCAATTTCTTATTCTGCCTCCAATAAACCCCCATAATCATAGCGGTAATGGGCAAAGCAGCAGCATACAATAAAACAATAGCCAGAAATCCCTTTGTATACTTTGGCGCATCACTCTCGCGAAATAGCTGCTTTCCAGCCAACCCACCAGCATTGCTCCCAGTGACCACCATGGCCAATCCAATACTGCGCGTCTCAGCAGATCGAGCATTGATACTCAGCCAGGCATCATTGAGACCCTGAGATAGCGCATTGCCACTGCTCAAGAGCGTGAAGAGTGCATATTTGGTCCACTTATCCTTATCAGTTGATCCAAACAGAGCACCGCCGAATGTAATGCTCCAAAGAAATGCGGCCATGCACCACAGACCTCGCTGTTTCGTTTTGTCGGACGCCCAAGCGATGGCAAAGCTGAGGAACACGACGAGAAAGCTGCTGACCGAGTTAAGAAGGTTGGAGTTGATCTTGCTAAAGCCCAGACTTCGAATGATGGTTGGGCCGTAGAGTTGAAGACCGCCCTTGGGCGCGAGTGACACGAGGTTGAGAATAGTGTGGATCCAGATACGGTAATCGGCGAGGGCGGCGATGACGCCTCGGACGGTGATATTTGCGTGGGCTTCGGTCTTGGAGATGTCTTCTTGATAGATTCTGTCGTGCATGATTTCGCGCTCACGAGAGGTGAAGAGGTCGAAACACCCGTGAATAGGTTGGGTATGAATTGGAGATCGAGGGAGAAGAAGGACGAAGACAACAAAGACTAGTAGGGTAAAAATACCTTCAACTGTTTGATGTTAGCAATACCCATGACGGGGCAATGCAAGAGGAACGAACTGATGAAGAGCCACTGCCAACCAGCCAGACCAGCTATACCGCCCATCTGCAAAACACCCGCAGCGATCAACGACCCCGTCGCAGTAGCAAAATAATTCCCAAAATAGAAGATGGACGTTCTAAGCGCCAACTCCTTCTCCCGATAAAACAGCGCAAGCATATACTGCCCACCCGGGATAAACCCAGCCTCACAGAAGCCCAGCAGGAAACGCGTCGCAAAGAACGACTGCACATTCGTGACACAAGCTTGCGTCAGCGCAACAGTGCCCCAGATGAGTACCTGGCCCGTAAGCCAGATCGGTGCGCCGAGTTTCTGGAGGATGATGTTGGAGGGGATCTCGGCGATGATTATGCCGGCCATCATGAGCTGGTCGCCGAGGTTGACGTCGTCCTTGGTGATGTTTAGATCGGTTGTGAGCGTGTCGGTCAGGGCGTTGCTGATGTTGCTGCGGTCGAGCTGGAGGGCGTAGAAGCCGAGGACAAGGAGAGGCATGAGGATCATGTCGAGTCTGGTATGTGAGCTCGGGGCGTCAATTGGAAAAGGGGGTCGTCAACTTACTTTCTGACGACTGCCTTCTCTTCGTCTTCTGTCCAGACAGGCTGCGCGACAATTGACTGCGGCGCATCATCAACATCGTGAGTTTCTTTATCAGCCTCGATAGAATACATCTTAGGAGAATGATCCAGAGCCATGTTGATACCGGGTTCGATGTGGTGTACAGTTCAAGCCCTTTATCAATGGATCATCCTGTCGTCGAATATCATCCGTCTTTATACCCTTTCATCACCATACCAAGAATTTTAACTCCCAACCATGATAAGGTATCAAAGATAATTTGATGCGCACGCCATTGAATGTCAAGATCGCGTATGTTTACCCGTCAAGAAGGTTTGCTAGATTGTCCGAGAGGGAGACCATCTAGTCGTCGGAGGTGAGCGTCGGCGATGAGCGAAAATGTGGGGTTTCGGACGAGTCGCCGATGGCTTCAAGCTGAGCCCTTAAACATACGCGATTGACGAGGATAATGAGCTCACAGCGAAGTTGATAAATGAAGTTGACTCAATTGCACAAAACTCAAGGTCAAAGAAGTTAAAACATTTTGAAAATGTCCAAGGATCCAGCGAAACCAAACATCATGCTTATCCTAGCCGATAATCTAGGCTGGGGTGAGCTCGGCTGCTATGGCGGAGGCATTCTTCGCGGCGCTGCAACACCGCGCATCGACAAGCTCGCCACCGAAGGTCTTCTTCTTCACAACTTCAACGTGGAGAGTGACTGTGTTCCCACGCGCTCGGCTTTGATGACAGGTCGTCATCCCATCCGAACCGGGTGCCGACAATCTGTCCCGGCTGGGTTTCCTCAGGGTCTTACCAACTGGGAGCGTACACTGCCTGAATGTCTCAAGGCAGAGGGTTATGCAACAGCTCACCATGGAAAATGGCATCTTGGTGATATTCCTGGTCGGTACCCTTCTGATAGGGGATTTGACGAGTGGTTTGGGATTCCCAGGACGACTGATGAGAGTCAGTTTACGTCGGCTTTGGGATATACACCTGAAGTTGCCGAGTTGCCGTATATCATGAAAGGTGTCGCTGGTCAGGACTCTGAGAACGTTTGTGTGTATGATCTCGACAAAAGACGCTTGATCGATGAGATGCTCGTTGACCAGTCAAAAGATTGGCTGTCACGTCAAGTCACGGCGGAGAAGCCCTTCTTCCTGTACCACCCACTCGTCCATCTGCATTTCCCGACTCTGCCGCATCGCGACTTTGAGGGGAAGACAGGGCAGGGAGAGTTTGCCGACTCTATGGCCGAGATGGATTACCGAATTGGTCAATTGATCGACCATCTTGACGACCTTGGAGTTCGCGACAACACGGTCTTGATATTTGCCTCTGACAATGGACCTGAGTTCAGACCCCCATACAAGGGTACTGCTGGCCCTTGGTCCGGGACATATCACACTGCAATGGAGGGAAGCCTGAGAGTCCCATTCATTATTCGATGGCCAGGAAAAGTCCCGACTGGGGTAACATCCAACGAGATAGTCCACGTCACCGACATCTTCACAAGCATCCTCGAAATAGCTGGCGCAGAACCACCATCTGATAGACCTATTGATGGTATCAGCCAAGTAGAATTCTTCAAGGATCCCGCTGCCGTAAAATCCCAGCGTGAAGGGTTCCTATTTTATATCAAGGACGAGCTGCGCGCTGTCAAGTGGAAGGATTGGAAGCTTCATTTGGTCTGGGAACCAAAGGTCAATCAATCATCTGGAAGGCTGGAGTCTCCGTATCTGTTCAATGTGGTGAGAGACCCAAAGGAGGAGACGGACATTTTGGCCTACAACACTTGGGTCTTGCAACCTGTTATGAAGTTGAGGGTCGCGTTTGAGAAGAGTTTGAGGAGTGATCCAGCACCGCCTGACCCGCTCAAGGGCCTTTGAGAGCTGGTCTAGATTACGATAGAAAAACAAAGCAAGAAATTCGAAGTGTGCAAATTAAAATGCATATGCCTATTTGTTCGTTTCAATCAGACGCTGACAGGTGACTGTTGTTACAATTATATTTGGTCCAATATCCACGGATCCAAAGTGGGCGGTGTTGACGTCCATAGGGCCGCTGCCCCATCTAGATCCAACGAAGGCAATACATTATGCCCAAACAGGAAGTCACTTGATATATCCATTGGTAGCTCCGAGGCCATTTCATCAATAGTAGCTGACATATCATCGAAGCGGTCACGGTATGAAGCTCCAGGAGGATACCGCTCTGCCATACCCCACAGAACCGTCGAACAGACAGATACTCGGCTCTTCAAGACGTTCACGTCAAACACCGCACCTTGGAGTGTAAGACTCTTGATGCAATGGATCAAGGCTGCACCTGATTGAAACAAGTTGGGTGTCGTTCGCCAGTAGAACCTCAACTTGCCCTCTTTGAATCCCTCTCTGTAGAGCTCAATACTCGTAGAAGCATACTGTGCAAGATCTCTCAGCTCATCCTCCGACAGGTGAGGAAAGTGACGAGATGGTGAGAAGAGAGAGACAAGAGTCATGTATAAAGCGCCGTCAAAAAAATTCTGAGGCGCGAGCTTTGATGTTGGGTCCAAGGGAGGCACGTTCGCATGCCATTCCACAAGACGATCCTTCATGCCCGTCTTCCAGGCTTTATAATCGAAAAAGGTGCCGTTCGCAGGAGGTTTGTAGTTGAGTGTATGGAAGATTTCGTATTCTAGTTGACGGAAGAGGATGCAGTGGTTTGCTAGTGGACTTGATGACTCGGGTCCGCTTGTTGAGGGGAGGGGCGTGAAGATGGCTTCATCGGGTATTGATCTTGGGCGATTGAGTATGACGCAGAGGTTTGTTTCGAGTATGTATGTCGACCAGAATACCCGACGTCTCTTGTTCACTTCCGCCTTATTTTCATGGGCGTCTTCTATCACGGACAAGCGAGTCTCGTTGAGTAGGTCGAGGTCAATAGCCAATCGTGTTGCCAGACCAATGAAGTGCCAAGACGCAGAGAGGTTTGAAGCGAAAATGGTATACTGTACGACGAGGAGAAGGTTCTGGAGATGTTGAAGGTCGCCTCTCCACGTAGCTTGCGGCCGATCTGTGAGTATTCCGATAGCCGACGCGAAGAATGAATCGGATGCAGTGGTAGGAATGGAAGAATCCGTCCTGTTGAGAAGTCTGATGGCAATGGCTAGGACCATGCAAAGCTGGAATTTCTGCACAGAGGTGCCCTGGCCGGGAGACGTCTGGTCTTGATAGAGGATGGCAATGGTATCGTGAAATGATTCCTGGTTCAAGACAGGGGAGAAGAAATTAGAGTGTTCAAAGTATGTGGCGGTGAGTTGGACAGCGGTTGGCTTGGGGGGGAATTTGATGGTGTCAGGCACAGTGATGGTATCAAGGAGAGTATGGTAAGCTGAGTCTTGAGGGTGCTGTATATCATTTGGCCTGGGTACTAGCAGGCGCAGTAGATTCCGGTCATTAGAGCTGTGCGCCTCTGATGTTGATTCAAGAGCATCTTGGGAAGCTCGGCTGGCATTAGACTCGGTGTCTATCCCTTGATTCCGGAGGGCGAGCTCAAGCTCAGCGACTCGATCCTCGAGATTCTTGATGTAACTGAGAAGTAAGCATGGAGTCTCTTCTGACGGGAGAAAGGAAACAAGTTAAAATACCTTCGAGGCACAGACTGCCCATCTACATCAACGCTTACACACGGTACTCCGGCACGGGCACACGATGAGCATGCCGGGATGTTCTGGTCACAACGCTGTTTTCGGGACTTGCATCGCTGACAGGCCGTCACGTTAGCACGTCGGACGCTGCTTCGTTTACGATTGGAGGGAGTGTCGGACATTTCCGGCGGTTGATCATGGTGAAGAAATTCTTGGGGGATAAATAAATGATAAAGCAGAGTCAAGTTCGCCGAAGCTTTCCCCGCGTGGAGATAAGGAGGACCCGGCTTGGAGTGATGGCGTCAGTCGCGCTAACCGTTGTTGGACTTGGAGTTGAGATCCTCATCAAGTATAATATTTACATCACAGAAGCCAAGTAAATGCTATGGATTCAAAACGTATAGAATATTAGGTTGCGTGTACTTGATCTCTTGACATTAAATCATCTTGAACTCCAGTTGAATAATGTTTGGGGGAAACAAGTAGTAAATATTCATACTCTCAGCAGATGTGCCTAGCACTGGTGAGGAATGTCAACATCATTGAATAAAAGCTGTCATTAAAGTATATGGGCTCTTTATTTGTCTGGCAGCTGTCTGGCACTGCAAACGCATCGCTCTGCTTCACTGCGATACCACGTGACACAGGCAAACGGCTTCAAAGTCACCAAGCCAACTCAAAACAAACTTACGACATCGCCTCTTCACTTTCTCCCCTCCCTTTGCTCTCACAACAAAAGGCACATCGCTTGTTTTCCTAGCTTATCAAACTTTCATTCTTTGCCGTGTTCACCATGTATCGCGACGGTGCAAGCAACACACGGGCCCGTTCCTCGCGGGACATGCCTCCTCTCTCTGTACCCAAGAAGCGCAAGCCGAAAGTGCCCAAGTAAGTCTCCTTCATCTCTCTGGGTTGCTGATCTAACCCCCTCACAGACAGCCTTCGCGATTTATCGCTTGCCCCGTCGAGATCCAGCTTCAAGTCCTGGAATCTGTCCCCAAACCGGGTCTCGTTGCTTTGTCGCGCGTCAACAAGCACCTCGCCAGCATCGTCCAGCCTATTCTTCACAGAGAGGTTGATGTCAATTGTCCTCCCCTCACTTTAAGATGCCGTTCTGTCCCGCTGGTCCTTGTCTTGCGAACTCTTCTGTGGCGGCCTGACCTGGCTCAAGCTGTCCAGCATCTGCGTTTCGATGGATATGACTTTGTCGAGCGGGAGCTTAATGAACTTCCGACCACGCCACTCTTCGACCTCACAGATGAAGACAAGTTGAAGGCAGTCCAGTTCATCAAGGCTTTAGATCTCTACCAGGGGATAGATTGGGCTCACGCTTTCCTGAAGGGCCAGGTTGACTCTCTCGTCAGTCTCGTCGTGGCTCTTACGCCAAACGTCAGAAGCCTTTACCTTGGCGAGTTCTTCTCTGTTGAAATATGCTATCTCCGGCTGTTGTTGAGGCCAGAGAGCTACAACAACCCAGGAGGCATCAACGTGCATAAATTCGAGCATC